TAGGTAAGTTATAATATTTGAAAAGTAGTATTCAATAATATTTAATTACATTCAAGGTAGAGTTATTAACTAATAGTTTAATTTTAACTCAAACGTATGATTTTTGCTCAGAAATTCATTTTTCTAAGTATTATGTGGCTTATATTCTATTACTATTTAGAAAAGAATTGTTATTTCCAATCTATTCAAAAATCTTTATGAATAAAGTATATCAGGAATCAATAAGCTTTTTACACAATAAAATAAAAATCTGTTCATTTTTCTCTTATTACGACTACCATCTTTGAGGGATTTATCATAATATAATTCATCTTCATCAGTATCATCCATATCATCATTTCTCATGATATTATCATTGTTAACATTTTATTTAAGTCGATATTGATTGAAATATTATAGCTTACCTATGTTTCGTTGTCTAATTGTTTTTTTCAATAAAGTATAGTTATTATCGGAATTTTTAAAGAAGATACCTGACAAAAAAAAGCTTATAATCTTTGAACGAAAAGTCGTAGCGACCTGTGGTTTTCATCATTCAACAGAGAACAACGTCGAGCACAAGTGGATACATTGAATGGTGCAAATTGCAAGTCGCTACGAGTTTTCGTTCAAAAGTTATCAACTTTTTTTCAGATGGCTTCTTAAAAAATTCCGATATTCGTTATGATATTTCGAAATTTTTTGTTCCTAAAAGGGATGAGATCTTACAAAACTCATACCAGGATAGTAGTGTACTCTAAAGGTACTTGGATTTTAGCTTATTTCTAGAGTGGAGAAAATTCGATGATCTTTGATCAGATCCTTTTAGCTGTTTTTGATTATCTCTGTATTGATTCAAACAGAATTTAACAAGATTGATTTTCGCTTGATTATCATGGTCAATTAACATTAAAATTTTTTAAAATAATTTTGAATAAAAAGAGGATGGATCTAATGCATTTCAATTATGTGTTAAACAATCAATTTTAGATAAAATATTAATTGATATTAAATTATTATCAAATTGTCGTATGCCACATTTTAATATTTCACAAAGTGTTTTAATTTTAATAAAAACATTTCTTTTTATTTTTCGATATTTATAAGTGCATAATTGATATTTTGATCTATGAGAACAAGACCATAAATTGAATCAAAATGAGAGAAATTTTTAACAATAGGTACGATTTATTCGTCGAGAGGATCTTAAACAATCATAAAAATCTTTTTGTCGTTTATTTGTTTGAGAAAAACAATATATTCATTAATATCTATAAATGTTTTTATAGAATTAGCAATAAGTCAAAGTTGATTAATCATATTTCAATCATTTTCACTGGATGAATTAATATGTAAATTTAATCAAGCAACGACGAAATTTTTAACAATACTAAATGGATATTATCGTGTTTGAAGAATTTTCTTGTTAAGTTTTCCTTTCTTGTGTACACCAGCTGGGATTTTTTCTTCAGACCTTTTTGATACTTTTCTCAGCGATTTTTAAAAGATTTAAGTGTTGCACCAGCTGGCTTATGAGGTATTTCGATAGCGAATCTGGAATATTTTGACGGCATTAAATAATTTTTATTTTATTGCTAAATCTATTTGTTTTTTTTTACAAATGGTAATGTCTTTTGTTTTAAGAAGCTTTTTCATTCATTGTTAATGTAACAGCTTTTGATACTATCGCCATATTTATCAAGGTTATTAAGAAAAAATGACGAAAATACTTTTATCATGCTCGATCATAGAAGGTAACAGACAATTGTTCGCAGAGCATATAGATGTGTAGTTCAATGTTTACATTTGGGAAATGTAAAAATATTTTTTCTTTTTTTTTCTATAAAACAAAATTAACTAACGGATGCCTTTTCTGGTAACTATAAAAGCAAGCAATAATAAGTAGGAAAGGAGATAGAAGATGTGTTACAATCAATTATAAGAAGTAAAAGACTGCAATAATCGAAACAAATATCTTATTTTTATAATGTTATTTATATCCTTCCTGAAGTCCAGACTATTTTTCTTGTTAAATATTAAAGCAGGAGATAATAATACCTTAATTTTTATCTCCATGATGAATACCTCGCATAATTTTTTCAATGCGTTATCGGACTTTTTCACCCTATTGATCATGTGTTTCTTCTTTTGTATTCATTACACCATGTACATGAAGTCGACCACCTTCAGATCAAAGTGCTCGATATGCAATAGGCCAACTTGCTTCAGATGATGGAATTACACCAAGATTACATCGATCAGTTATACCAACAGGACATGTCTAAAAGATATGATTAGAAATTCTCTTTGAAAAAGAAAATAAATGTACTAATTGATTATCTGCTAGTAAAAGTACATAACGATCTTCATCAATATACGTAATTTGCTTGAAGATTACGGCGAAGTGCTTCCATTGCATCTGGATTCCAATCACAAGCATATACATGACATGCATGACAATGAACAAGAAATGGAAGAGTAAAATATCCAATACCAGCATAAAGATCAACAATTATTTCATTAACACAATTTACATTTCCCATCCTCATTCGTTCTGTATTATTTTCAGCACAAAACATACTTTTATCAACATTATATGAATATCTAAAAATCTTCTATATATATAATGTTCAGTGTGTGTCTGTGTGTCTGTCTGTGCCGGGTCAAAGATCACATAAGGCTATAAGCAGAAGGCCCAAGAGCTACTATATTAGGATACCCATCGGCCCTCAAGGACTATTATATGAGGTAGCCATAGGTCCTCAAGAGCTATCCTATGGAGGTAGCCATAGGTTCTCAAGGGTTATTATAAGGGGGTGCCCATAGATCCTCGAGGGCTATCCTATGGGGGTATCCATAGGTCCTTAAGAGCTATCCTACCCAGGCAGACAAACGTTAAAAAATAATGCGTTTAAACGCATTAAGGTTCCGTAAAAACATCGTTTAAACGAAATATTATCGTTTAAATGGCATTATTATGCAATTTTGAACCGCGTTAAAACATGTAACTCATCCGCAACTTGTTAAAACTTGGAAGTTTTTCAAAATTTACGCGTTTAAACGCGTTCACAGGTCTAAATATATTTTAATACAGTAATATGTTAACGGCAACTCCATTTAGTTTTTTCCTTTAAAACTGCATTACTACTTGCTGCACCTGTACAATATAATTCACGTATTTAACAAAATTAAGTTTTTTTATGTTAGTATATTACCTCGTGAAAGTTAAAATATACGTAACCATGTTCAAGACAGAATATTCCGTATTTATACAGCATGCGAGAAGATATAGGTATTTGAACTGATTTCTGATCAGATGAGAACCTATTTATAAATCTTAACACAGAAAAGACTATTCTAAAAATACTTTTATAAATTTTATTTTTCTCATATGTGACAGCTTCTATTTCGTAGTGTCTTCATTGATTTTTATTTAATCTAATTGATGCTATAGTGTTTGTTCAAATTCATGTTCGATTCTTATCTGCTTATAAAATAGATTCAGTAGTAGTTTGTTATTTTGCCATTATCAAAACCTCTTGTAATATGCGGGATTTAAAGTCAGAAATATAAGTTTCAATAATCTTACTGTAATATAATAAAAAGAGAAGCATATGAATAGAATCATCTAATGTTCCTCTACAGAATGACATCATTTGATCAATAACTTCATATAGGTTTGTTATACATATCAACAATTTACTGAAAGAGGTCGAAACTTTTTGGCCACCCTTTAGGTAAGACATTAAAGTTAAGGACATTTCGTATATTCTTTATATCTGTTCATACTATCACAATATCTTCTTTACTTTACTTTGTATTAGTTAATACTAACAACCAATCATTTGATGTTCACCACTTTTCTCGTGATGTGCTACCTAGAGTATTACTAGGAAACATTTAAAATAATATTTTTTCACACGAAGACAGGACACATTATCTGGTGGATAAATAGGTGTCGTATTTAAGAAAACGAGTTTATTTCTGGCTTCTGCAGAGAATTCACCACCTATTTCTACAATCTATATGCCCTCTAGAAACTTTCACTGCATTTTAAAATCCTCTTCTGAATAATTTCCTAAGCGTCTTTATGCCAATTTGAGTAGATAACAAGAAGGTAAAAAAAATTTTGTCGCAATGAGTATCCACCGCATTAACTTGTTTTTTCAGTTTTTTTTTATTATTTGCCCAATCGTTTTTTTTCGTTCAAATTTGTTCTTTCTTGTGTTTATGGATTTTTTTCATAGTTATGTATTGGTTTATTGTTGTTTTGTGACGATACTTGAGTGTTTGCTAGAGGATATTATGCGTTGTCTAATGACACAATCATTTTAACTAGTCATCGAATTGGCCTTGTAGGGAGAATAAATAATAATGTATGTGCAAAAAAATGTGACATAGGTTTTATCAAGTTTTAAAACGCATTTATTCGACATAGATAATAATTGATTTACAGTGAAAAGCAACATCTTTAGTTACTATCTACTACTCTACTCACTAAGTTCAGAAATGTTGTTCAAAATTTTTTTTGTGTAATAAAAGTTTCATTAGTGTTATCTAATGCATTCACATTGATGCTATAATCTTTCTCTTCTTCTTTTTTTGCCTCCTCCTTGTCTTTCTGTAACTGTTTCTCTTCTTTCATTTACCATAATCTGAATTGAGATTGTTGCTTTTTTTGCTTATCATCAGCACCTGGTCAAAACTCATTATGACTACGATGCCAGAATCAACATCCATTTCTCTTGTAACTAAATGAATAAGAACAACTGAATAAATCGCTATTGGCAAATGATAGCCACCGTGTGTGAGTATGTGATAGATCCGTAAAATTGTAATAAACACTTAATAGCGAAATAAAAAAATCAAGATGAGATAAGACACAGTTATACATACAATGAATAATAATTCATATTTATGAACGGTTACCGCTTTTTGAAATAGGGTTAATCGTAGTTAGTGGCGGCCTCTATCCGACCATAGCCACATTATATAACAAATATACCTAATTGCTTACAAAAAATGTGAGAGAGAGAAAAACACCAAAACTAAAAAAAACCAAGTTTTCACCCTGAATTTGTGACCAAACCACTATAGTTTTTATTGATATTTCTAGATCGAGTGGATGTCAATTAACAACATCTGTGGGCACCGTTTAAGGGACACAACCGTTTAAGGGAAAATATAAGCACCATTATAGAGGCACATGGAATCATTTAATGGCGACCGATTTAGCACAAAAATCTAGCCATAAATAGAATATATGGACTTTTGAAAAATAAAATTATGTATTATTACTTCTATTTTTATCATAATATATTCATTTTTGAGATTTTTAAGATCACATTTAAATGTTCAACTTATGCTACCAATTTACTCCTGTATTTTGATTGAGATATTTGTTTAGTGCCGAATTCAAGTCATGCTATGAGATAAGTCGACTTGTCTCATGAGATAACTCGAAATATTAATAACTTGCCAAAACCTACGATGCGACTTATCTCATAGGACAAGTCGAGTTATCTCATAGGATAAGTCGAAATAATACCTAACCGATTAAAAAGGCTTCAGTTCAAAGAAGCGACTTATCCTATGAGACAAGTCGACTTACCCTATAGCATAAGTGAAAATAATAAGTGAACCAGTATCAATGTCTCAATTGAAAATATTGACTAATCCTATAGAGTAAGTCGACTTGTCTCATAATATAATCCGAAATTTTGGCAAAATGGAATATCTCGATGACAATCTGCATCTATTTAAATTTATAAAAAAATTTTGTACTAAATTATTTTTTTCAATTATTGACATATTTTAATAAGTAATATAATACAACACGATGTGTTCCAAGTCATGTAACCAATCAGATTAAACATGTGTGCCTCTATAATGGTGCTTATATTTTCCCTTAAACGGTGACCACAAACATCCAACGTCCTCTATCAAGTATTGTTTTTCTTTTCCTCTTATTAGATATTTTTGTCCTATACTTTTCTCTCTTTAACAAAGCGAGTATTTATCTGTCTTTCTCTTCAATAAAATAGCAACTCACGTTGAGTACCAATACGCTAAATAGGAATGATGGCATGCAGAAATAAAATATGAAAAACACAATTACTATATTTAAGTGTACACTATTTTACACTTTTAATACATCATTCCTTTTGTACAGTGTAAGATCGTAATATATAGCTTAATGATATTGTTTTACATTATATCCTAGCAGCAATTTTTTATTTGATTATTTTATTCATTCAAATTCGATTTTTCTGTTTTTAGTAGTCTAGATTTAACTCAAGTTTTCCTTTTTGATAGAATTATTTTTGTAAGAATAAGCACCAACAAGAATAAACAAATAATTCATATTCGATCAATTTCACATCTAAATCTGGATAACTTCAAAACTTCCTATTTGTTTTATGATAAAAGACAACTTAAATAATTTTGTTTAAAGCCTATATTTGTTAATAATATCTCAATGCATTTTTTTCCTTTTTTTTTCTTCAAAGATATATTAAATTAAAATTCCAAAAATCTGAAACTTTATTGAAATAAGATGAAAATTGTCAATTTTACATGTGCATTATAATATTGTACAAGTGCTTAGAATTTTTACATAAATTCATTATTCTTATACATTCTTTTAGCAAATAAAATCAATGAATATTTATTGTTTCGTATTCTTTGATTTCGATCTTTCGAATTATAAAAAAAATTATATAACTAAAAAAAAAACACTTATTTAAATTTTTCCATTTTTCTTTTTATTACTTTTGTTTTTCAGATATTTCATCAATTATTAATTGTCAAGTGATGATTGTTCAAGTTGGTAATGATACAACTGTAAGTGAATTTAAAATTCTATTCTATTTATATGCTTCGATTTGAGAATAAATACTAGAACAATTTCTATGGAATTAAAATATGACATACACTATAAATTAGAAAATGAGTTAGAGTTTAATCGAGGATATTCTAGGAATGCCTATATGAATTCGCCGATGAATTTCTAAATTCTTGAAAATAAGATATTCGAAACATTAAAAATATGAACTTTGATTTTATAATTAGAAAATCAAGAGTGAATTCATATAGGCATTCCTAGAATTTCGGATTCGATATAGCAATTGGAGCATATTCTAAAAACTAGAAAATCAAATTTGATTATCATATCTTGATGAAGTATCTTTTATTTATTTTATTTCATGAAATAAAATAAATAAATAATTTTACTAAAGGAGAAATTCATTTGATGGAACCATTCATTAATATCATCGTAAATAAACGATTAAATAATCTAATTTAAATATAAATCCATTCAACTTTATTCATTCACTATAATATCATTGTAAATAAATAAATGAATAATTCAACTGAAATAAAAATTCATTTCATTCAATCATTCTTTAATGTCATTGCAGATGGATAAATAAATAAATGAATAATTTAACTAAAATAAAAAAACATTTCATTTCAATCATTCATTAATATCATTGTATATAAATAAATAAATAAATAATTTGACTAAAATAAAAATTCATTTCAATCATTCTTAATGTCATTGTAAATGAATAATTAC